AACGTGGCCGCCTTCGCCTCGTAGGGCGGGATGCAGTGCTTGATGTTATTCTTCGCGCTGTCGGGGCCGTCGAAGACGCGCGGCCGGGCAACAACGCCTTGAAGCCGAACGGCGGTGGGAATTGGCGGCGGTCGTCGTTATCCCACGCCGTCGTGCCCAGCTCGTCCAGTTCGGGGGGAATCGGGTCTGCCGAACCAGTGATAAAGTCGACGCAGTGAACAAGAGGGTTCTCGTTCGCCCAGGAACGATTCCAGTTCGCCCTGGGCACACTGGTTGTCACCATTGGGGCGGGCAGAGGACGGCAGCACCAACCGTCGGCCGCCGTCTCCGAGGTCTTCGCACGCGGGCATGTCACGCCGTCGAACGACGCGGCAGGTTCGCCAGAGGACGCAAGCGCTTTGCTGATACTGAGCCCAAAACAGCTACGCGCTGAGGAATGTCGGATATAACACACGTGCGGCTATGTGGTCGTGCGTCTGGGCATAATGCTGGGAACCCGTTTTGGGGTTCCTCACTTGTTGGTTGTTTGCGTGGTGTTGTCACCGCTGACGGCGTTGCTGGTGCTGCTAGCGCCCACCACGGGGGCAGCTCTGTTTGGGGCCGCCCTCGCGTGTAGCGCCTTGAACGTGTCCACCACGAGGGGCATGTTTTGGATGCCCTCGGGAACACAACCGTGAACGTGTTTCACATTAGTGGCGTCGACGGTTGCTGGCGTGGTGCCGGCACTGCTGATATTGCGTAGCAGGCTATGTAAGTGACCGCCGCGGCGGTAGCTTGCGGCTGAGCCCAAACAGCTACGACCTGATATTTGCAAATGCTTGTACAGCTAGGTGGCCGTGCCTTCGGGTGCAGTGCTGGTAACCCGTTTTGGGGTTACCCATTTGTTTGCCGTGGTGTGATCATTGGTTGTGTGACGGTGCTGGCGTTGTCCGTGTTTGTCACGGGGAGGGGCATAATTTTGTGCGATGCCTTCGGGGGTAGCACCACGAAAGCGTTTAGCAATAATGGCGCCGTTGTTGCGCTGCGATTGGCCCAACTAGCTCTCCCTGGTGCGTTCCTGGGTATCTTCTTGGGCTCTTTCTTGGGTTCCCTCCTGGGTTCCCCTCCTTTCCCGCCGCCCGCTCCTGGGGGGGATGAGGGAAACGAAAGGCCGACGCGATTCAAATTACAACCGAACAAACAAAACATCAAATACCGATTGCTGAAATACCCCCAAAACAGTGTCTGTATATATCTATATATACATATGTGCGTGTATACAGATGCTTCGTCCACACCCACCGCCCCACCCGGAATAAGTATTGACATATTTGGTTTGGTTTGTCTTGTGTGAGTTCGTCCTGTGGTTGTTTGGGTTTTTCTGCCGGCGGTCTTTGGTTTTCTGTGTTTCTTCCAGTCGCCGCAAGCATAAATAATCCAGGTGCAATTTTGCAATCCTCCGACAAAACGTATTCTGTCGCACCCCCCACAGAAGGAATCATTCAGTAGATCCTCGACAGGAGAAGGCGAATGACGAAGCGGTAGCTTTCGGAGGACGGTTCGGGACGCATGAGAGGCATGAAATTGAGGGCGAAGGAAACGGACGAGTAGACGAAGGAAGGCGACGAGGACGACGACGAGGAGGAATCGCAAAGAAGGCTCATGAGGTAGATCTTTGGGGTTGGTTTTGCCTCATTCGTATCGCACTCCTCTCTCATTCTAATCAGTACCGTGATCTTGTCATGCTCCTTTTCGCGCTCAATCAAACTCCTTTCCTACGCCCTCCGCTTCAAATTCTTCAATGTTGATCGTTCTGACGCCAGGGGCATCTGATTATCCTTGCCCGAGCACGAATTCCCAGGTACATTTGGAATGCGTGCGCGGATATGTAAATTTCACGCCTGGGTATTCGCGCGAGTGTTTCTTGAAGCAGTTGATGGCCTCAACGCGTGGAAGCACTGACATGCTGAATAATCTGACCGACTTTGAGTGGCTCGCACTGCCGAAGAAAGTAGGCGCCGACACGGCAGGCTTTGTGCAGGGTTCAAAGTGCCAAGCGAAGATGCGAAGGTGATTGCCCGGATGGTTGTGCAATTGCTTGGCCGCGCAGCCCCGGAGCAATTGACGGGACGGCAACAAGCATATTTCACAGGTAAACATATCGAGTTCAATGTCATTGGCAGTTCGGAACCGATTGTCCTTTGTGCAGCGATGCCTTTCAGCGGGGCGCTTAGTTTTGCGTTTTGATGGCGCAAACTGGTGAAGATACCTCTCCTGGGGGTGGGTGGGGGCAGTTTGTTGAGTACGTCCGCCTTCTGCAGCGAATCCCCCGTGGGGTTTTCAAGTTAATGCGTTGCCATGCGGCGTACTTGTTCTCATCTGAACATGTTGTTTCCGGCATTGAGTTTGCTGGCGGGGTACATGCATTGATACATTCGCAGCATGGGTGTTAATAGCATAGGCGTGAACATTTGTGTTGTACCAAGCCGCGCAGTTGTCAGGGATGCGTCATGATTGGGGCTGTTGTGATGATTGGAGTCTTCATTTCGGCGACAGCGGTAAAATGGCGCACGTCGTCGAATCGATGAAAGCTTTAGGACAGGTCATTAACAGAGACAAACAACGTCATGGATACCCAGCCGTGCCCTTGCACAATGTGAACTACTGGTTGCGGTCGTTCTACGAAGATCCACACATTGTGCGACGGCATGAATCAATTGGTGTCTGTTACGGGCCTGGGGCGAGCGAAGACGATGCTGTGGCTGAGCCGATTGTCAAACGACGACAGCGGCTCGCTGTCCTCAGGCACAAAACGAGTCTTTGCACTCGTCTCTTCGCTTGGAACGTGCCTGCACGACCGCTGCTTTTGTACATGAGAAACGTTCATTTTCTGAGTGGTGCTGATGTTTGCAAGTTCCGTAGAATGGCATCGTCTTGTTTTGAGCTCGTGAGGTGGTGCCTTTTGTTTGCCATGTGTTCTGCCATGCGAGAAGCGCGTTTCGAACCTCAGCTGAGGCAGCGGATCCGTTCCCAGCAATAGCGACTTCTCTGTTATCTATCTCGCTCAAGGTGGACAAAAGCCGCTTGCATTGATCAGCAGCACATCACGGCAGGCATGCAGCATTTTTCAGCACAAGTTGTAAGTTCATCCTTGCGTTCGCGATCATGGTATGCGAAAGTATTCGGAACATCCTTACCGGTCACGGGGCGCATTGTTCCCGAAACATTGAACGATCGCAGGCGCCCAAACAGCTCTGAAGTTAAGGAGGTTGGTTTGCATCGGTATGTATACCGTTGCCTACATAAGGCCGAGGCTTATCGAGCTGTCGCGGTCGTAATACGGTTTACAGCACGCGGCCTTTCTTGGGAAAATGCCGACCTAATTTTGCGGAACATGCCGTCGAACATTTTTGGGGAACAATTGGTTTGCCATCATGCGGGAATTGTACATGGCGCATCCACGTTGCAAACATTGACTTGTTTGATAATGCTATGCCAATTCTGCGGTGTTGCTAATGAGCATTCGGTCAGGCACAGAGACGTATGCCCTGAAATTTCACTTTTACAGGCCAGGCTCCCAATTCGCTTCTAGTGATGTGTGGCTCCAAGTTCTGCCCCCCGAGCGCGTCCATGCTACAATGCGTCCTTGGTTTCACCAGTGCGGTTGCGCGCATGCGTCGATTGCTTGGTGATGGGAGGCGCTCCTATTCGTTTGGTGGCATGGTCCAGCATGCAAAGCGCTCTGCGACGATCCATTGATAACGTGGATCCCGATCACCACGACGCGGCCGGAACGCCGACGGATGCGCGCGCAGGCATTTGAGTTTACTCTTGGCGTGATAGTGCACGCCTCTGACGGCGCAGCGTACAACCAAGGCATAGCAATGGAGCAACAAGCTTCTCATAGCTGCGTGCGCTATGTCGTTGGAGCCCGCAGCGTCGACGACAGTTGCGGGTGTTTTTTGTTGGGGGGAGTTCCCAACAACCATGCCGACTATACAGGTTTGTTTGCGTGCACGTAACATGCCAAGGATCATGTCGCGCCTTTCTTTGTATTTCATGTTGATTCCATGTTGGTGGGGAGTCCAGTGAATGGCACTTGGAGGAGAAGGGCACGGTTCCTATGGCAGTTCTATGAACAAGCGGCGGCATTGTTGCAGGCATTGCGACATTTGCCGGGGGTGCAATCTGCTCGTGCGCAGCATGTCCACAGGGAGTACAACACCGATGCCGACCGCGTGTGTCATGCAGTGCTGGATACAGTCGTCGCTGGGGCCCCTGCGTTGGCACAGGGGCGCCACGTGTGGAACAACTGGAGGTCGTATGCGAGGTCAGCATAGTGAGCATAGTGCCCGTGTCCACGCTGTTGTCCTGTGTTGGGGTGGGTGCGCCTGAACTCGTGCTACCAGGCGACGGTCTCCCCATCCCATCCGATTTTGCGATTACTTGATTCCACAGGGCGCCTTTTCGCCACGGCGTCGTGCACGAAGTGGTCACGTCGCCTGTGCAGCGTATCATATGAGTTCAAGTTGCGCTCTGTGCAATAGAATTTTGGCGAAACTTATACGTTACAGCGCTACGGTCGCGCAATGATAGGTTGTGAGCCCCGCAAACGAGGTCGCACAACTCTACATCACGACTACTTTTTCTGAGTCGCGAGCTGTTGACTTTCAATGGCACCTTGTCGTGCAACCCCAGCATCCATTTTAATTTGAACCATGTCTGGATCACATCAGGCATACAACAATGTTTACGGAACCTTTGCCAAATTCAATGTTTCTAAGAGGTATCCCGCGGCAGACGCGTCTTGCTTTTGCCAAGTTCTCGTCGCACAGAGGGTCGTTTGTTCATTTCGCGGGACCAGAATCCCCCATCATCTCCTATCCCCCATTCCTCTCATCCCCACTATTCTCCATCACATCCCCCCTTCATCATAATCCGCGCGATTCGCATTCTCTTATTACTCGTCCCATCCTCCGCCCACCCACCCCTGCACCGTCCCCGCGGGGGGGCGGGGCGCAAGATGCTCAATGCGAAGATAGAGCCCGCCGATTGCCTGCCGGAGAAGCCTGCGTCGCTGAAGGCGCCACTGCCCCACTTGTCCGGCGCGCTCAGACTTGTCGATAGGGCGCGAAATCAATTTCGTTTGAGATTGATTGGCACGCGACAATTTCAAGTCAATGCCATGAGCATAGCAGGCCCCTGAAAGCACCATGGGTAAGAGGGCAGTCCGCGTTCACGGTCCTACTCTCTCGCTTGATTCTTTCTCGCAGCCAGGAATGCCCCTGGATTTGCCGGATCGAGATTTTTCTGACGGGTTATGTCCCCCCCGAGCCCGCTTAAAATCTTCCATCCGCTGCCTCGCGAATCCGTCACCGCGCGGGGGGGCGGCGCATGAGCGGGGGTCTGGGGGGTAGTTGCCGTGAAACCCGGGGCACGAAACTTCGGGGGGGATTTCACTGTGCGTATGCATACACAAAACGCGAGGCAACCAAAAAGCTAGGACTTGGCCCGAAAGTGAACGCGTGCTGGGTGCGATCCATCGGGGGCCACAACTGTTGCTACGCGAGAGACGAAATAAAGGGGAAAAACAAGGGACCGACACACACACACACATACACACACATCTACACACACACACTTGTCTTGGCGTCGTGGCCACGCGCGCTGCTGCGCGGCGGAGTCAGGGTATCGGCCGAAAGCGGAGATTGAAGCGGAACATATTCACT